CTGCTGAGGGAAAGGGGATTTTTATGGATTATGTAAAACTGAGACTAGGGCAGAGTCGAGGATCCCTGTAATCTCATCCATAAACCAGCATGATTTCATGTGATAGAAGCCAATCATAGTGATTCTCCCACTAAGTACTTAGCTTTGAAAATATAAAATGTCCTTTTGAAAATCCTGTTCAAATTGGATGCTTTTTCTTACAATTTCATTGTAAAAGATTAAGATGGCTCATAGAACTTTGTATGAGAAAATACAGGCATGAGAGCATGCCAATGTCAGTATTTTATAACTGCCTTTCAGAGATACACAAGGAGGTTTCAGAAAGCACAGGAAAAGTAAGAGGGGGAGCCTCTCACAACATGGAGTCTCACTACCCAAATGGCAGGGACATTCAGGCTGAGTTTCTAATAATACTGCCTCAGCAGCCAGGCCAGTCAGAAGGTGATCTGTAACCGCATGGTTTTGAGTAACCTCCTACATCCTGGCACACAGAGGGCTTTGGGGGAAATAGACTGCTAGTCTCTCAATGGCATATGGTCTTTCCCAGAGGGACTCGGCATAGCCTATGAACATGTGTGTTAAAGTTAGAACATCTATCAGGAGAGTTGCCCTTCCTGCAAAATCAGGGAATATTTTAGCAGTTGCTTTTATTTCTTTGTAATTCTGGACCATCTTTCATTAAAACATCCAGTACTAAATCAAAGCTTGACAACCCTTTCGGTGAAGAAATGTTTCCTAATATCCAATCTAAACCTCCCCTGGCGCAACTTGAGGCCATTCCCTCTCGTCCTATCACTTGTTACTTGGGAGAAGAGACCAATACCCACCTCGCTACAACCTCCTTGCAGGTAGCTGTGCAGAGCAATAAGGTCTCCCCTCAGCCTCCTCTTCTCCAAGCTGAACAACCCCAGTTCCCTCAGGCGCTCCTCATAAGACAGCTCCCTTCACCAGCTTCATTGCTTTTCTTTGGACACATATTCTTCACAAGACAGGGAACAAATTGTCACATAGTTTTGGATTTCCTCTCCCTTGGCTGGGAATTCTGTGCCTAACAATCTTATCTATATGCAGGTCCTCTTTTTGTGTTAGCATAAGACGCTAAGCAAAGATGTGAGAGGTCTATGTTGTGGTGAGGAGAGAATAAACCCCCAAATTTCACTTTGCATAGCATGTATGTCATTGTCTTACCCTCCATCTCCTCCCTTTCTCTGAAACATCAGACATAAGCTGCAAGCCCACGATGTGATACTGGCCTAGCTAACACACTGCTGTGGTTGCTTACAGTTACCATGAACTGCACAGCTCACCTGGTAACTGGGAAGAAGAAACAGGAAAATGCAGGGAGGTAATAACTTGTTATGCTTTCCCTGCTGTGTGTATCTGCTTGTATTCTCCTTATGTAGTACGTGTTACTAGGTCTTTTCCTATAAGGGATATTTGTAATGGAGTGCATTCACAGCAGCTGAGCGCTGCTGTGCCAGAATCTTCAAAAGTTATTAGTTTGGCTGTGTCATAAGAACCAGCTCTTCTGAAAGCATTATGACCCTTACCTTTAAAATTCAAGTTGCTTTCAAGTCTTTCAGGCTGGACAGTACAGAATTGGCATGGACAGCTGCTTCTAGTTGCTTTTGAAAATCTTAGCCGAAGTTTTCACTTTCTTACACTCAGCAACTGGTTTTGACATAAATAAAATGGATGTAAATGAAGAGTTAAGGGAAGAAGTAATTAAAGCTCCACCTCATGTAGATGTTGATTTAAAAAGACATATTCCTTTGCTTTCAGGAGGGAAGAAGTAACACAGTGCTTAGCCACAGCGCAGAAGATCACAGTGCTACTGACTCGGTCCGCACTATCCATCTCCTGGATGTAGTCATGCACTGACAAATCCCTTGTCAGACCACAGTTTAGCATCTTTCACCTCTTTCAGGATAGGTTTCCACAGAGTATAATCTTTGAGCCAGCTGCAAACCAAACCGGGTGATCTTGGTACTTCTGTTCAAATCTCAGGCAGCATGACCTCTCTAGAAAGAAGTAAAGTCCTCATCTCCAGCATTTCCCAACACTGTGTGTATTAATGTCCATTTAGTCCCTGCAGGGCTGTTACCATTTCTGCATAGCTTTTTGATGAAGAGAGGGCCAATGAATTAATGTGAACACTGAGACCCTACTCCTCTAATGAGTACTCCCAGTAGTGCCTCAGGGCTTGTAAGGACAGGAGGCCATCTTCACAGTGTCATTAGAGATTTTGAGCAGCAAAGGGTAAGGCTGACTGGAGCAGGCAGATTATGGGCTGAGGCTTCTCCTCCCACCTCGTCTTTCTGGATAACATTTGTCTCTCTGCTGGAGCGACTTGGGGCAGGGCTCACTCAGTAACACATGATAAATTTCATCCTATTTATGTAATATGTGAGGTCTGTGGGGGAGAAATAACCAAAACAAGCATAAACTTTCCCCCTTGCATCTTGCAATGCAGCTTGTGCTGCAAGATGCTGAAACACCATTAGAACATTTCTGGAAAAAACACATCAAGAGATGCACTGATGCTGTTGTAAGAATAATTAACCCTCAATGCAGTTGCTTCTAGCTGCGTAAGTACAAGTATAATTCTGAATTTGTAAATATATACACAGTTTCATACACTCATGCTCAAATATGATTCAGGCTCTTCCTCGGCATTTGTTTCAGTGAAACCAGCTGTAGATATACTGGTGAGCTTATCATAACCCAAAAGCATTTACAGGGAGACAATTCAAACTTACTTATAATGACATTTCCAGAATGCACATAGGTTTTGAAGCAATGTGCAATATGCACAAAGAAAATCTAGTCACGCAGAGAACAATGAAAACAACTTAAGTAAGTGGGACATGAATCGAACCTAAGGTGCCTTCCAGTTGCTACTACTACCTCTGGTCAGTATTTCAAGTTAAGATCCCCAGTAATTTGAGAAGTGGGTGTGCTGCAGTATTCTCAAAACACTGAGGCTTTGAGGAGCTATGACTTATTGGACCACAGCTGTCTGAGGACTTTATGAATGTCACTAAGATGTTCTTTCTGTCTCTCTTGGGAAACAGTCAATTCAGAATTTTAAATTCCCAAGGACAAGTCTTAAAGGTTTTTTACTTTAATTTTTAAATTACATTTCTGTAATTCCTATTTAAGATTTTTTTTTAGTTGAAGACTTCAGTATTTGTTCCTCAAAGCCTTTCTAAAAAAATATTCGTAACTGCTAGAAAAGTCAACTTTTTCTCCCTAGTAAAGGACAGGAATGCAACCATTCCCATTCCCTGCATCTATTTTCTTTTAGGTATGTCAGACACAGGAGTCACTATTAAGGCTAATTTTTCTGAGAAGTAGAGGGCAAAAACGGAAAGGATTTGAGGCATCTCAGATATTATAAGGATGAACAAAGATACAATTTGGACTGAAAAACTATGTCAGAGTGCAGGTACCAAGCAGCTGAATGTGGCAGAGGCTTGATCAGATGGATGGCCCTACCACATTAGGCTGTCAGGTTTCAGCCACACAAATATGAGGTCTATCAGAAGGAGAAAAATGGGTGAAGAATTCTCGTTTTACAAGGATTCTGTGATACAAGCTACCAAAATGTTTTATTTAGGTGCTTCCATAGCAAAATATAGTGGGCATAGGTTGCTGTCATTACACGTGGTGCCTAGGGTATTGAACCAGGATCGAAGTCACAGTAATAGCACTAATAAGAGACCACTTGATCCGAAAACACATCCGGTGTGAGAAAACAAGACACATCTCTTTTACAATCAACTGAAACACATGGATGATAAGCAATACTTGACAGCTCGTTTAACAGCTTTCTTGATTGTGTCACATGGCAATGAAGTCAACAGGATTTAAGGAAACGCAGGCATTCTTGGCTGAATTAACACAAAAGTCACAGCATTGTGCAGCACGCCCAGAAACTCTTCATGAGCTACAGGCAGGTGCTCTAACTGTAGAGAGCTATAGTTCCTCACAGCATGCAAATTCAGGCAACCTTCTTATTCTTCCATGCATTGCCGTGGGCTGTTTCTGTCCTCGCTTTGCATTTCCTACAGGCAACCTCACAGTTCATGGTTTTCAGACAGCCCTCATTTTGAAAGCTCTTACCATGATGGAAATCCCCACTGAAGGTGTAACATCGTTCAGCAGTTTTAACTGGATTGCTCTGATGCGTATTGCATCAGGTTATTCCATATATAAACCTACAGTAAGAGGCTGTCCTGACACCAGGATGTGGTCCCTCGTTATGAAGGCAAACCAGTGTATGACCCTACAAACACGACCACGGACAGCCCCCATGCTCAGTCCTTCGTCAGGGGTGTCCAGCTCGACACTGCTCACGGCTCCCGCCCCGTCACTCTGAAGACGCCCGCGGCAGGAGGTGCGCGGTGCCAGGCCAGGAGAGAAGGCCCCGGCCCCGCTGCAGGGCCTGGGGGAAGCCCGCTTCTCAGCAGGG